TTTCCTAAGATTTTAATATCCAAGATTTCTTCTTTTTTTTTTTTTCCTCTCAGAATTTCTCTTGAGTATTTTGTCCAAATGCTGAGTTTCTTATCCAAGTATTGAATTAACTTGCTTACTTCCTTCATCGGTTTATTTTAATCCTCACTGGAGTCATTGATCCTTTTTAAAACTAGATTGAACTTCTTTTTTAATATGTCACCATTTTTATTGACAAGTGGCCATTTTTGTGAGGGTGGGGAATCTGATCTCAAAACAATATTCCACTTAAGGCAGAAATTGCCATCATGACCGATATTCAAAATATCCATAGTGTTGCAAGGCTCACATAGTAAACATAAAATCCTTAAGAATCTATACAGATAACAGGTATGAATACTGAAGTACTAGGATAAATTGATGACACAGTTAATGAGTTTAATTAACATTCCTTTTAGGAGATTTAACTCAATACAAAAAATGTGCTTTTAACAAAGTGTTGTATCTGTTCTGCTATGTCACAAAAACAGGCTGCGAGGCATATAAATACTCCAGTGCCTCGCAAAACTACAATAAAATACAACTATAAATAATACTGAAAAAAGTTTACCATCTGACAAGTGGATAATACTTTCAAGGCATTTACTTTGCAATACTAAGCTTTTCACATTGACCACATTCACTGTAGTCCTTGCTGCAAGGGAGGAATAGAACCAGTTGTTTTGGCTAAAATAAGTCAAAGGCATTGCTTGGGTTCTGCATAAAAGTGACTGTATTAAACAGTCCAATGGCAATCACTGACAGGTTGCTAAAATGAATGATCTCTCCTTGAGGAAAATGGCTAAAAGACATTGCCGAGGCCCTCAGTTCAAGACCTAGAACCAGAAACCAAAAAACACACAATAAAAAAAGTTTTCCAAGTCCTTGGCCTTGGTCTTGACCAAGTGCTATAGGGATCCAAAGTAGGATGTTTCCTGCAATTATCATGGGCCTGTCATAAATGGGGAGTTGAAGGGGATTGGATTTGCCCAGGATTTCTTGGATTCTATCATTGAATGTGCAGCATCTGAGAAGCCTCACAGTTCAGGCAAACCTGCAGGTTGGTCTCGCCCAGACCTGACCCAATACAGTTGCCACCAGCCACCTGTGGCTATTTACATGAAATGAAACTGAAGATGCAGTTCTCCAGTCTCTGCGGCGACCATTTCCAGGACTCAACAGAAACACAAGGCCAGTCGTTACCGGAATAATGTAGACGTGGATTACTCCATCATGGCAGAAAGGCATCTACAGTTGAGACCACAAGTTCCAGAATCAAGTCCCCAGGCTAACAAACACCACGTGACACCCGGCCAAGGTCCACCTGTCTTCGGACTTCCGGGATACTCACTAGGCTGTGCGCAGATTGCCCGTACAACTTTCAAAGCCTTGGCGGGCGTTCAGAAACCAGATTCGGAAGCTGTAACTGTCCTAGGTGCTGGGCGAGTGCCTTAATGCCGACAGCGACCTCCAAGCCTGCTGCAGGGTCGCTGTGTGGGTCTGAACTCGCAGCCTCGCCATCTCCAGCGCATCAGGGGGCCCAAGGCGCGCTCCGGGGCTGAAGGGGGACGATGGGCGGGGCTCCGCAGCGTGGGGGCGTGGCTATGGGCGGGGTCCGCGCCGCGTGACCCAGCGCCCGGCGTGCGCCCGCGGAAGCAGGAAGCGGCGGCTGTCTGTCACCGGCTGGGGGCGGGGAAGCGGTGGTTTGCGACCTGCGTCTTGCGAACCGGGTGATGGATCCCAACCCGACCGAGGCGCGGCGAAGGCCGTCGCTGCCGTGGTGGCTGCCGCTGGTGCCGCTGCTGTGGTCGAGGGTGGCCCGGGGCGCGCTCCCTTTCGGCAGCAGTCCGCATAGGGTCTTTCCCGATGTCCTGTCGGAGCAGCAGTTGCTGGAGGCGGAGGACATGACCCTGTCCCTGCTGCAGGACCGCGGGCCGGGGCCACTGTCGCTGCCGCCCGATCTGCCGGACCTGCGTCCCGAGTGCCGGGAGCTGCTGCTCGACTTCGCCCACAGCAGCGCGGAGCTGACCCGGTGCGTGGTGCGCAGCGCCCGGCCCGTGCGCCTGTGCCAGACCTGCTACCCGCTCTTCCAACAGGTCGCCAGCAAGATGGACAACATCAGCCGAGCCGTGGGGGTGGGTACGGACGCACCCGGGGTCGAGGGCGCTGGGGACGCGGGGGAGGCGATGATGGAAAGGCGGTGGGCTGTGTCCGGAACTTGGGCATTAGAAAATGCAGATGACACCAGGGGCTTGAGGGTAGGACTTTCCTTTCCCTCCATGGATGCGATGTGGGGTATCTTGTGGAAACATGCTTGCGGATGGATAGACTGGTTTCCTTGGGGGGCCTGCCTTCCTGACCTTTTCCCACGCTCTTCTCCCTCCCCCCCCCCAGCTTCTTCCCATCTTAACTTGTACTTTTCAAGAAGGATCCTTCAGAAACTCTGTGTTTAAGAGCTGGACCTTTACAGCCAGAAACGCTCAGATCAACTAATTTCTAATGATGTGACCTTGAATTAGTGACTTTTTAAAAAGCCTTAGTTTTCTACTCTATAAATGGTGTGTGTGTACACACGTGTGTGTGTGTGTGTGTGTGTGTGTGTTTGTGTGCATTAAAAAGATTAAAAACGATGGAAATTCCTTTTCCTGATTAGTGATCATGACAGTCTGGAGCTAGTGTACTCTGGGCCAAATTATATTCTCTTGCCTTTTTTTTTTTTTCTCATTTGCAAAGTTGAGGATAAAGGGAGGTAATAGAAAGCTAGCAATTAATAGCTAGGAAACAGTAAGATTGGGTCATTCTTAGTCCCCTGGGAACTTTTCTGATCATGTAATAGGTGCTGTGAAGGATTTAACTTAAAAAAAAAAGAAGGAAGACACTGTTCCTGCCCCTAAGTACTGTAGAGGCCTAGGACTAGGAAAGGATTACAGTGCCTGGGCTAGTAAGAGTCACAGGACTTGTGTTAAAGGAAAAAAAAGAATGACATTGGAAGCCAGGCATTGGTCTGTAATCCAGCTATTCAGTAAGCTGAAGTGTGAGGATCATGGTTCAAAGCCAGACCAGGCAGGAAAGTCCATAAGACTCTTATCTACAGTTAACTACCAGAAAACCAGAGGTGGAACTGTGGCTCAAAGTTACAGTGTTAGCCTTGAGCAAAAATAAGCTCAGGGACTGCACCCAGGCTCTGAATTCAAGCCCCATGGGGGGTGGGGGAGGAGGGAAACAATACGGGTGGGGGTGGGCGAGAAGAATAACAATGGAATTGGGAACTAGAAAATTTCCTTTTGTAGTGAGAGCACAGCAGATTGTCTCATGAAAATGTGGTTGAAGTTATTTCTTGTATCATATTTGATTTGACCAAATACAAACTTGTACATAGTTGCATATTGTCTTAAGTCAGCCTGAAATTGGATTTCTTTGCACTAAATAAATTTTGTAGCCAAGCACTCTGTAAGGAGCTAGTTTTCAAGGCAGCTGAAATAGATTTAAGTTGTATGAAATGTAAAACGTCTACTTCATCAAGGTATGATATGGCATCATATTTAATTTTTAGTTTTGAATAGTTAGATAAGTTGTTTTTAGGGTTTTTTTTGTATTCTAAATAACAAGTTCTGTTGTTACAAATCAAGATACAAAGCTTGAGTCTTTATTTTTTTAATATAGGGCTTACTCAATTCCTGCTTTCTTCATGAATCGTTCCAAGTTTCTTCCAGTGACACTAGTATTTTCCCCAACTGAACTGTTCCACATATTAAGCATTCATTTGACCCATTGTATTAATTTTTTTAATAGCCAGTCATCTACTTATGAAGATGCAACTTAAGTAACAGACCACGCTTAGGTGATTACATCACCAGCAGCACTTCAGGTGGCAGTAGGGTAGGTAGGTAATATTGCCATTTATCAGTTGCTCTGTGTCAAGCATTGCACCAAGTGATTACTATGTTCTTTCATTTATCTTAGTTATAGTACAGCCCCAGAGAGGCTAGGTCATCAGCTAGTGACTCAAGCTTGTCTGATTCCTTAAGTCAACACTATATAAGAATTAATAAAAGGCTAGGGATGAGCTCAGTGGCAGAGCACTGCCTAATGAAGTTCCGGCTTTGCTCCCTAGACACACACACACACACACACACACACACACATACACACACACACACACACACAGAACTAATGAAGATTTTTTTTTCTGTTACTACGGATATTGCTCTAAAACCAATTCCCCAGAAGAAACTTTAAAAATGTTTGTTTCCTGTCTGCAGTGGCTCACGCCTATGACCCTAACTACTCAGGAGGCTGAGATCAGGAAGATTTGTGACTCAAGGCCAGGGTGGTCCAAAAGTTGGAGAGGCTCCATCTCAACCCATAAAAAACCCAAAAAACTGGTTGTGATGGTGTGTGCTTGTCATCCTAGCTCTACAGGGACCATTAATAAGATTGAGATCCAGCGTAGCTCAGGCACTGGTGAGACCCTATTTTGAAAAGTAACTGAAACAAAAAATACTGGCTAACATGGCTCAGGTGGTAGAGTGCCTGTCTACCGAGGCTCTAAAGTACCAGTACCTCAAAATTTTTTTTCTTTAATTCACTGTTTTAAACCAAGCAAACCGGGTGCCAGTGGGCACGCTGGTAATCCTAGCTACTCAGGAGACTGAGATCTGAGGACCACAGTTCAAAGCCAGCCCAAGCAGGAAAGTTCCTTAGACTCTTATCTCCAATTAACCACCTGAAAACTGGAAGTGCCACTGTTGCTCACGTGGTAGAGTGTTTGCCTTGAGCTTGAAGAGCTAAGAACAGAACCCAGGCCCAGAGTTCAAGCCCCAGAACTGACCCCCCCCCCCCACAAAAAAAAGGAAGCAAGCATTTTTTAAGATTCTATTTATTTATTTTTTATTTTGTAGATCCAGGGATTGAACTCAAGGCCTTGTACTTGTTCAGCAAGTACTCCTTAAGCCATGTACCAGTCCTTTTGCCGTTTATTTAATTTTTCAGGTATAAGGTCTAGATTGCCCTTTGCCAAAATACTCCTATTTTTACTTTCCAAATGGTTTGAATTACAGTCATGTATCATCATACCTGGCTAGATCAATCTTTTAATGAGCCACAAGGAGGATTGCTTCCCAAAATGAGTGTCAATGGTATTTTAAAGCAAGAGTTCTTCCAGTAAGTCTGACTTCTGGTTCTCATCTCACATAGCTGGTGGGTTCTTTCCCCACAGTTAGCAGTTTGTCTGTTTTTAGTTTCCACACCATATAATCCCTCATCTTATGTCCACGGAGGTTCTTGCTCTAGCATTAGTGGTGTTCTCCTGCACTTTTCTTATCCTTGAAACTCCAGGATTTGTTTAATGCCTGACAAGTAGTAGGGTTAAATAGCTTTGAAAGAATGCTCAGTGGGACTTAGTTCTTTGCTTGGGGACAAGACAAAGGAAATAGATAAGGATGAAGTAATTGGGTTTATTACTTACATAGCCTCAGTTTCTTTCATAATTAAAATGATCTGTAGAAAACACGTTTTTCTGAGCACAAACTAGGAACTAAATGGATATGTGATTTGATTTACTTGTGGATTATAAAACTGCAAATTGCCCAAAAGATGAAACCAAATAGAGATTATATATATATATATATATAAATATATATATATATTTATATATATCATGTTCACTATAGAAAAATTTAGACAGCTGGGTGCTGGTGGCTCATGCCTGTAATCCTAGCTAAATCAGGAAGCTGAGATCTGAGGATCACAGTTCAAAGCCAACCTGGGAAGGAAAATCCATTATACTCTTATCTCCAATAAACCACCAGAAAAACCAGAAGTGGCACTGTGGCTCATTGCCTTGAGCTGAAGGGCTGGTGGACAGCGTCCAGACCCAGAGTTCAAGCCCCACGACTGACAAAAAATAAAAAAATTGGGCAGTATGAGAGAAGCAAAAGTGAAAATAAAAATTGCTACACTTCTGTTACCCACAGCTACCTACTGCTATGTTTTGATCAAAGTAAAAAAGAGAAGAGATAATAGCTTAGACTTAAGTAGCTGAGATCCTCCTGTAGAACAAAAAGTCAAGATGCAAAGATTTTCTTTTCTTGCCACTGAATTCCATGTTCATAAATGTTACCTCCTAATTGTTTTATCATCATGGTTATTATTAATACCACCATTAACTGGCCATACTTAAAAAGTTTCTAATAAATAGTTTAATTGTCTTTATAAGGTATTTATCTCAAGCTGTTGGAAAGTCTAAGAATATTCAGATTATACTTTTATTTTTGTTGCAGAATACCTCAGAGAGTCAGAGTTGTGCCAAAAGCCTCTTAATGGCAGATAGAATGCAAATAGTTGTGATTCTCTCCGAGTTTTTTAATACCACATGGCAGGAAGCAAATTGTGCAAGTAAGTAATTCTTTCATTTCTATTTTATATTTGTGTCTCAGTAGTATAGTTAAGATTTTATTTTATTGAATTTTAGACTCTCTGAAGCTAGACAATACTTGTTACTAAGCTTGAATGGATGGTCATTAGCATGATGTATTAGTGTAAATAATTCAATAAATACTGAAAGTCCAAAATGTATAGCAGTTAATATGAGTTTTAGTCAGCCTTGGGTTTGATTCTGACTGTTTCGTAGTAGCCCTCTAGTTTGAGACAATGACTTTTGCCACTTAGAACTCTCATTTCCTTAGTAAATTGTTGCTAATATCAGAACCTCTATTGCCAAGTTGTTTTAAAATTAATTTTTTTTTGTCAATTGTGGGGCTTGAACCCTGGTCCTGGTCCTCAGCTCTTCAGTTCAAGGCGAGTACTCTACCACTTGAGTCACAACGCTACTTCCGGTTTTCTAGTGGTTTATTGGAGATAAGAGTCTAATGGACTTCCCTGTCTGGCTGGCTTTGAACCTTGATTCTCAGATCTCAGCCTCCTGAGTAGCTAGGATTACAGGCATGAGCCACCAGTGCCTGGCTAAGTTAAAAAATTTACAAATAACGAAAGTGTTCTTATTTAAGCAATATAACTTCTGGCAATATAGTGAGAGATTAGGAGCATGAGAAAAGGAATAACAAATCAACATTGAATTAAATAAAATTTCCCAATTTGTTTCATAAATCTTGTCTCATTTGAGCGTCACAAAAGTCCTGTGAGATAGAATGAAGATATGAGTGTAAATGAACTTTAGAGTCTAGAACTCAGTTCAGAAAGCTTTGTGACTGTTCATCTGAGTGACAAAGTTTTCTTATGAATTTATGCCAAATTTTTTCCCTTGGGGAATTGAAACCTTCAAGAATGCTAAACACATGCTGTACCACAGCCTCTTTTATTCCCCCTGATGGTACCAGGGCTTGAATTTAGAGCCTTACACTTGCTCAGCTTGCTTGCTAACAGTTGGTACGTTACCACTTGAGCCCTGCCTCCAGTCCAGATTTTTCTGATTGATTAGAGATAGAGTCTTACGGACTTTTCTTTCTTAGGCTGGCTTGGAACCTTTATCCTCCAGCTCTCAGCCTACTCAGTAGCTAGGATTTCAGGCAAGTGCTCTACCACTGAGCCACTTTCCCAGCCCATACTTTGTATTTTAGAAAACCTAATCTTAAATACATAAAAGATTATCCAAGAATGGTGGTTCATACCTGTAATATTAGTTACTCAGGATGCTGCAACTAGGAGGAGTGTGGTTTTAGACCATCCCTGGCAAAAGTTCATGAGACACTGCCCCCCTCTCCATCTCATTGGAAGAATCTGTGCCTAGTGGCATGTTCCTCCCATCCCAGTATGGCAAGAAACATAAATAAGGGCTGGGAAGGTGGCTCAGTGGTAGAGTGCTTGCCTTGCATGCATGAGGTCCTGGGTTCGATTCCTCAGCACCACATAAGCAGAAAAAGCCGGAAGTGGTGCGTGCTATGGCTCAAGTGGTAGAGTGCTAGCCTTGAGCTGAAGAGCTGAGGGACAGCACCCAGGCCCAGAGTTCGGGCCCCACAACTGTCAAAAAAAAAGGAAAATAGAAACATAAATAAGGGTATGGCAATGTAGTCTGGCTCAGATAAAATGGGAAACCCTGTTTTAAGAAATCGGGGGATGGGGCTGGGAAGGTGGCTCAGTGGTAGAGTGCTTGCCTTGCATGCATGAGGCCCTGGGTTCATTTCCTCAGCACCACATAAGCAAAAAGCAAAATTTAAAAAAAAGCCGGAAGTAGCACTGTGGCTCAAGCGGTAGAGCGCTAGCCTTGAGCTGAAGAACTGAGGGACAGTGCCCAGGCCCAGAATTCAGGCCCCACGATCAGACCCCCCCAAAAAAAAGAAATCGGGGGGATGGGGTGTGCTGGAAATGTGGTTCAGTAGTAGAGTGCTTGCTTAACATGCATGAAGTCTTAGGTTTGATTCCTTAGTACCACATGAACAGAAAAAGCTGGAAATGGTGCTGTGGCTTATGGTTGAGTTGAGTGCTAGCCTTGAGCACAGAGAGTCTCAGGGACAGTGCCCAGGCCCTGAGTTTAAGCTCTAGGACTGGCAAATAAAAAGGGGGAGAGGGGGAAGGGCTACAGATGTGACTCAGTAGAGAATACTTTCTTACTTTAATGATGTAAAATGCTTCTTTTTACCTTTGCATTTAAAACCAACTCCAGTGAACAAATGTAACAATGGTACTCACTAGATACTATGTTGAAAATGAATGATATAACTTGTGGGAGGGGATGGAAGGGAAAAACTGGGAGTAAAGGAAGGAGTGACATTATCCAAAAGAAATATACTACTAGCTGGGGGCTGTGGCTTACGCCTGTAATCCTAGCTACTCAGGAGGCTGAGATCTGAGGATCACGGTTCAAAGCCAGCCCGGGCTGGCTTTGAGACTCTTATCTCCAATTAACCACTAGAAAACCGGAAGTGGTGGCTGTGGCTCAAGCGGTAGAGCACTGGCCTTAAGCTGAAGAGCTGAGGGACAGAGCCCAAGCCCAGAGTTCAAGCCCCATGGCGGACAAAACAAAAAAATTGTACTATTTACCTGACTTATGTAACGGTAACCCCGCTGTATATCATTATAATAGACATTAAACTAGCAAAGCAAATTCCCTATTTACAGAGGCATCTTTTTTTTTTAATATCACTGACCCCTTAAAACTGTGTAAAAGGGAACAGGATGTAGCTCAGTGGTAGGGGGCTTGCCCATCACGTGAGGTAAGGTGAGCTTAGTCACCATTGCTGCAAAACAAAACAAAACAAAAAGTAAAAGTAAAAGAATATAAAGTGTATTTGCTTATCTTAAGTTTTTAATAAACTGGAAGAAGATAATCTTGTCGTGCTAAAATTTTAAACTAATTCTGACTGGTCAAAAGTCTGCCTAGGATGCTATAATTTTATATTCACACAAAAATGAGAATGCAAATAATAAAAACCTAATTTCTTTATTACCTGTCTTTGTTAAACAGAAAAAAAAAGGCTGATACTTTTTTTCTATGTGTATGAAAAAATTTTTTTTGAATAAAGGAAAGGTTATTTGAAAGTGAAAGACAAGTCATAAAAGAAAGTGACAGCCGGGCGCTGGTGGCTCATACCTATAATCTTAGCTACTCAGGAGGCTGAGATCTAAGGATTGTGGTTCAAAGCCAGCCTGGACAGGAAAGTTCATGAGACTATTATCTCCAATAAACCACCAGAATACCAGAAGTGGCACTGTGGCTCAATTGGCAGAATGCTGGCCTTGAGCTAAAGAGCTGAGGGATAATGCCCTCAGGCCCACAGTACAAGACCCACAACCGACAAAAAAAGAAAAAAAAAGTGACAAACTCTCCATGTGGAGAGGGGCTCAAAGAGTAGTCTGTATATGAAATTGTTAAAACACCAACCAGTAACTCAGGTATCTTTATCCAGTGATCTAATTATTACATTTACATATAGTACAGATTATAAGTGATGCCAAAAATAGGAATTTTGGTAGTAAACATACAGTGTAGCACCTAAAAGGAAAGCTGGAAGAAAATGACCGAGAACAATATCCACTAATTTATTAATTTTTAATTTAATTTTTAATTGATTATTATAAAGGTGATGTAGAAAGGGGTTACAGTTACATAATACAGATAATGAGATATTTCTTTTTAGACAACATTACCCCTTCCCTTGCATCCCCACCCACAAGTTGCGTATAGTTCATTTTCAACCCAGTGTCTAGTGAGTACCACTGCTGTATTTGTTCACCTTTTGAGCCTCCATTTCTGTGCTCCCCCTTACTCTCCCAAAGACAGATAAACAAAGAAGAAAACAAAAAATAGCAAAGGAAAAACTCTTATTTTCATTTCTTGGAGTTCATGTCAATAAGTATTATTTTATATGATCAGATGTACGGAGGCATTGTGCCTTTGTGTTCCTCTCCTAAGACTATTCTCCTTTGGTCTTATTGTGTATAAATAACCACCAGTTGTTTTTTTATTTATTTATCTATTTATTTATTGGGTCTGGGGCTTGAACTCTGGGCCTGGGCATTGTCCCTAACTCAAGGCTAGTAGCACTCTACCACTTGGGCTACAGCGCCACTTCCAGCTTTTTCTATGATTAATTGCCCAAGCTGGCTTTGAACTGTAATTCTTAGATCTCAGTCTCTTGAATAGCTAGGATTGCAGACATGAGCCACTGGCACCTGGCTCACTAATTTCTTAAAACTTTCTTTACTAAGGCTTGAGGTAGTATGTGATCTATTTGATATAAAATGTCTGTTCCTTGTATCTTTTGATATACAATGTCTGTACCTTTCTCTTTCCTTTTGTTAGTAAATGCAATAAATGCTATTTTGTTAGTAAATGCTATAAACATTCAGGTAAAAACTCCTCCCCATCCTGCTAGATATGGAAGCTGGGGCAGATCTAGATGAGCTATCTTGTCTAGCTTGAGCCATACCTTCAGCCTGGTAAAATCTGTTTACATTGCTATAACAAAACACCACAGAGAGCTGGAAATATGGTTTAGTGGTAGGGTGCTTGCCTAGCATGCACGAAGCCCTGGATTCAATTCCTCAGTACCACATAAACAGAAAAAGCCAGAAGTGCGGCTGTGGCTCAAGTGGTAGAGTGCTAGCCTTGAACAAAAGGACTTCAAGGACAGTGCCCAGGCTCTGAGTTCAAGCCCCAGGAGTGGCAAAAAAGAAAAGAAAAAGGAAAGGGAAGGAAGGAAGGAAGACCACAGACTGGGTGGTTTATTTCTCACAGTTCTGGAAGCTGAGAAGTCCAAGCTCATGGAGCTGGTAGGTTCCGTGTTTGGTGAAATCTTATTGTTAAAAATGGTACTTCCTGTGCTGTTCTCATCTGGTGGAATGCGCAGAAAGGGCAAAAGAGGGACAGTGCTGTATCTTCACATAGAAAAAGAGCTAAAGAGTCATAAAGCTATGCCTGCAGTAAGCACCACATGGAC